AGGCCAAGTCATCAAGAGTCAATTTAAAAATGGACCATCAAATAGTAATGTTTATTTTGTTAAATATATTGACCATAATAATCGTAAATTTTCTCTCTTTGCGGCGGCTCATTATTTTCGGGATATGTTCAAGAAATGTGATGAGTTTCACAAAATTTTGAAATTAAATTGCCAATGTCGAGTACTTTATTTTACTTACCATTGCTATTGAAAGGAAAAAGGATGCGACCCAAACTGACACCTAGAAAGAGAATTCGTTTGTAAAATTGTTATGTTTTATTCGTACAATTTTAATTTTTAAAAGGAAATCAAATAAAAAAGAAGCGAAGCTCGGTCGTCCGAACTTTTAACACCCTCCACCATTTGGTACAAATTTAACAATTTTCAAAAAAATAAAATCCGTTAAAAATTCTGTTAAAATCTTAAAAATACCGAATGTAGCCCTATATTAGGGTCTATACGACAACGTGGACCTGCATAGGCAACTTTTGTCACAAGCTATTACAATATTCAAATGCGGAACTTGAAAAAAAATCTGTTTATAATGTAGCTAAAATCATCAAAATACCGAATATAGAGAGGTACCATGAGACTTATAAAACGTGGACCTGCTCAAAATTTGCTGGCATAGGCTGTAGTATTCATTACGAAATTCAAATGCGAAATTTGAAACTATTCCGGAAATAATGTCGCTACAATCATCAAAATACCGAATATTGGAAGGTACCAATATTTAGGGGCTATACGAAGACGTGGACCAGCATCGACAATTTTTACTCATAGGCTGTAGTACCCATTACAAACTACGAATACGAAATTTGAAATAGTTCCGGTAAATAATGTCGCTAAAATCATCAAAATACCGAATATCGGGAGATACCGTTATATGGGGGCTATACGAAGACGTGGACCGGCACAGACAATTTTCTGTTTTAGTCTGTAGTATCCATTACAAACTTCAAATACCTATTGTGAAACAATTCCGGTAAATAATGTCTCTAAAATCAACAAAATACCGAGTATCGGGAAGACCTGGGCCTGCATAGACAATTTTTTGTCATAGGCTGTAGTACCCATTACGAAATTCAAATATGAAATTTTAAACAGTTCCGGTAGATAATGTCCCTAAAATCATGAAAATACCGAATATCGAGAGGTACCGTTATATGGGAGCTATACGAAGACCTGAACCTGTATGGACAACTTTCTGTCATAGATTGAAGTATCCCTTAGGAACTTCAAATACAAAATTTAAAACAATTTCGATGAATAGTGTCGCTAAAATCATCAAATTCCGAATATCGGGAGGTACCTTTATATAGGAGCCATACGAAGACGTGGACCTGCATACGAAATTCATAGGCATAGGTTGTAGTACGCATTACAAACTTCGGATATGAAATTTGTAAGAATTCGGGTTGAATAATGTCGCCAACCTTGCTTTCGAAAATACTCCAGACATAATAGACCAACGGATTGGTATCCGGATTGGTGGCCATTGTGCTCTGGAAATGAAGCAAGGAACCTCATATTGTAACCATTTTTGGGTGCGATGGTGCTGAGTCCTGTTGGAATGTCCAATGTCTGCAGCCAAAATGTTTGCGTGCCCAAGTCTTTAATCCACCCTCCAGAATATTTTCGCGATAATATTCGGCATTTATTCTAATGCCACCCACTAATGCCACAACATTACCATGGCCGGCGCTTGAGTTCTGGTGGCCAACCCAAGGTGCACATTTTCAGCTAACCTCTTTGGCAAGTAAACACGGTCATTTTGTTGTTGTTGTTTACAAACTGCTGGACAACGAATGTTTTCTCATCGGAGAAAACCAAATTCGGCATTTCACAACTTTCGGCCAAGCAAATCAACTCTTTAGCTCTTTTGAGTCTATTTTCCTTCAGTTACGGTGTAAGTTTTTGCACTTTTCAATAGCTTTACCCCGAGCTCATTTTTTAATATTTGCCGAATGGAATATTGGGATATGTTCAGCTCATGAGCCATTTTTCGGCCACTGCGACGCGGGTTTCGATCAAGTCGCTTCTTTACTTTTCAAACCAGTTCTACTGATGTTGCTGTTTTCTTCTGTCCACTTCCTTGATGTCGGGCTAAGGTACCAGTTTCACGGTAACGAGCGATGGTACGAGACACAAAAGATTTATTCACATTTAAATGCTGGAGTGCTCTAACGATAGCCACCTGTGGTTTTCCAGGCAAACATAAAAAAAACACAATATCACGCTTGAATTCCATCACGAATAACTTTTTTTCTGGAAATTTCTTACCAAAATGCTTTTGTACGCTTGTAAACGATATAATGAGCTGTCACTGGAATAATTCTAGCAGCTGTCGGACGAGTGGCTTAGAAATGACAGCAGTCTGAAGTTAGTTGCAGTTTTTTCATCTCATCTCATCATTTTTAATGCTTAAGTAAAAATTAAACCTGTCCTTTTCCTCCGGCAAAATCTTTAATGCAATATGAATACCTCATTCACGATACATATGATTTATGGTTGTCAATAATATTTTCTCTCCTTTGAAAAAATTTTAGTTTTTGTTGTTTTAATTTACAAAATAAAATCCTATTGTTAGCCCAACACTCTCAACATGAAATTCCATGGAAAATTCTTTCCCCAAAAAAAAAGAAAAACTCCAGACACACATTAAATATTAACTAAGCCTTGCTCTCACCGATAACCTGAGAGTCCATCCAACATGCAATGAACAAATTATAAACTATTTTTGCCATTGTTTGTTAATACGCCACACAAAAAACAAGCAACATGTTCTCCTCAATTACCAAACATTTGCTGCGGAAAAATTCTAAGGACTGACTCTCTAAACAGGATATAAACATCGTGTGTGGCATTTGAATTATGCCATATATTTTGATGCAGTTTCGTTTTGTTTTTTTTTTTCAGGGCCATATTCTTCTATGAAATTTGTGGTATTTATGCAAGACGGCGGCGTGGGTAAGTAGGTGGCCTGGCCGTAAAAAGGAAATATGCTTTTGTTTTTCCAAACACCTTATCCAAAAATATGCAATGAAATATTTTGTAACAATTTTATAATTTTTTTATTGTGGCAATTTTTTGTCTATTATGTCTCTGGTCTAGACACTTTAGAAGTAGTTTTGTTGCTATGGGTGAGTAAACAATAATTTTGCCAAGTGGCGCCCAAGTGTTAACTACAAATGGGGGATAAATAATTTTACATTGGATGTGAATAACCTATCTTCTTAGGTTTCCTATGAAAATATTTAGGAGATCATTAAGGTCTAATACAGAGAGAAGAATTTTCGGAGAACTTATATAGATAAAAATAACCTTAAAAGTTCTTGTATATGGATAATCAGAGGTCCTGCGTAGTTTCCAATCTTGTAAAGGGTGATTTTTTAGCAATTATCTGTTTGGCAACACTGGTTAAAAAAGCTCACGCACATTTCGAGTTTATACCCTACACCAAATAGTGGTAAGGGTATTATGTCTTTGTGCATTTGTTTGTAACATGGAGAAGAAAACGAGATAGACCCTTAATTCCATAGTTGGTGATCAGCATAGAATCACATTTTGAGTCGATTTATGCATGTTCGTCCGTCTGTCCATTTATTTTTTTAAACAAAATGCAGGTCGCATTTATTATTCGATTGAGATGAAATTTTCTAAATAACATTTGTTTGGCTCAAGGACGAACCCTATTGAAATTGGTGAAAATCGGTCCAAATTTAGATATAGCTCCCATATATATCTTCATCCGATTTTAGGTTTCTTCAGCACCAAATGGCTAATATCAGTCCGAATGGTGTGAATTTTGCTACATCTGACCGAATTCAGCCTACAAGCATGTGCTTCAAATTTTGGTGAAAACCGGTCCAAATTTAGTTATAGCTTCATCCGATTTTAGGTTTCTTCTGCACCAAAAAGCTAATATCAGTCCAAATGGTGTGAATTTTGCTACATCTGACCGAATTCAGCCTAAAAGCATGTACTTCAAATTTTGTGAAAATCGGTTGAGATATAGCTATAACTCCCATATATATGTTTCATCCGATTTGGTGTTTAAGTCCCTCACATTCAAGATCGGTTCCGATTTGGATATAGCTCTCATATATATATATTCATCCGATTTTAGGTTTCTTGTGCACCAAATGGCTAATATCAGTCCAAATGGTGTGAATTTTGGCACTTTAGACGGAATTTAGTATAGAAATAAGTACTTCAAATTTGGTGCACGATACAAGAATAATATTTGGTACCAGATATCAGATGCAGCCAAGAAATAGCTGTTTTCAATTTTATGAAGATCGGCTCAGATTTGGATATAGCCTCCATTTATATTATTATTCGATTTCAGGTTTATTGTGCACCAAATAGCTAATATTAGCCCAAATGGAGTGAATTTTCGAAATTCAACCGAGTTAGCATAGAAGGAAGAATTTCAAATTTGCTCCAATTGATATGTTTCATCCGATTTGGTTTTTAAATCTCCAACTTTCGGAATATGCACTCTACCATAATTAATTTTTTTTACCAGATATGTCATAGAGCTCAGAAATTGCGATATAAACCGAGAGTTCTACTAAATATGCATAGTGGTGTAGGATATCATATAGTCGGCCCCGCCCGACTTTTGAGCTTTCCTTACTGGTTTTTCACTGTAAAACATATACATCTAGGTCTATAAATTAACCATGAATCGTCTTACAAACGAACAACCCTTGTAAATCATTGAATTTTATTAAATGCGTGCTAAGAAAAGTTAAGAAAGTTCATCGTGCGCTTCTTCCTTTTTATGGTCAATTTAATCGAAGCTAATTTTTGGCTCAATTGGTACGTAAATAAGCAGAATAGTCGATTTTGAAATGAAGATCAGCCAGAAGCATCGCAAAAACTACAATGCGTGTTTTATGTTTGCTTATTTGAAAGATTTTCCTATAGCTCATAAGAAATCACCCTTTACTTGAATAACTTATCTCAGTAACACTTTTCTCTCTCTTTTCAGCTGATCCCAAATTTAGTGGTCCCATAAATAATGTCACAGTTCCTGTTGGACGAGATGCCATACTTACCTGCGTTGTTCATGACTTGGTTTCATTTAAGGTAAAATTGATTTAAACTAAATAAGTGAGGCGGTTTTCACTTGAGGCTAGAGAATATTGCTCAGAGTCCCGCAATTTATAGAATATAGTGATAGAGAAGACTCCAAAGGACCTCGATTGATTAAATCTCCGGCAGAAGCTTACCATAGACAAAATGTTCTTCAGAGAGTTCATATCTGAAGGGGGCATTTAAAAGATATTTAATTAACAAAAGACTCTTTCGGAATACATCCATTGATAGAAAGTCTTACAAAGATTTTTGGGGTCCTTTTTGGCCGAAGAACATTCAGAAAACTTTTATTGAAATAAATGCTGCCAGAGGTCTAGGGGACTCGGTCCGTCCAAAATTTTAAACTTTCTTTCCCACAGAGGGGTAAAAAGTTCTTCAGATAACATATAGGTAGAAGAAATTTAGAAGTCGTTTTTTTGACCCAAGACCCTTTTGATAAAAGGAATTTCAAGGACCTTCAAGGGCCTTCTTGGCAAAAGGAATTCAGAGATTTTTTTTAAAAGAAACACCTTCACAGGCCCCTAAATGGACAAAATGCCCTTCAAAAAACTTATTTCGGTAGAGTTTATTTAAATCCCATTGTATTGTCTAGAAGAACCTTCGGGATATGTCAGATGATAGAAGGCGTTTCAAAGACTATCGGGTTCCTTTTTGGCTGAAGAAAATGCAATGGACTTTTATTTGGGGTTCACCGACTTAGACAGAGAGAGATCCAGGGGAACCGGCGACTTCCGAAATGGTAAACTTTTGCCCCCGCAGAGAGGCAAAATGTTCATTCAGGAAACTTATACCGGTAGAGGACATATGAAAACCATTCTATCGACAGGAAGAGACATCGGGATGGGTAGAAAGCCTATCCAAGACCTTCGAGGACCTTCCAGAGAACGTTTATTAAAATACCCCAGATAACTCCGACGTAGACAGAGGACGATCCGGGGAATCGGCGCCTTCTGAAATTGTAAATTTTTGCCCCCGCAGAGAGGTAAAATTTCTTTCAGAGAACTTATATCGGTAGAGGACATTCAAAAGCCATTCTATGGACAAGAAGACCTCTCAGGATATGTCCATTGATAAAAAGTCTTTCAATGACCTTCGGGAGCCTTCTAAGCAGAACAAAACTAAGAGAAACTTTATAAGGGGAAAAACTTCCAGAGGTAACCGACGTAAACAGTGGGCGATCCACGGGAACTGGTCCACTCCGAAATGTTAAATTTTTGCCTCCGCAAAGGGACAAAAGGTCCTTCAGAGAACTTTAGTAAGTAGGAGACACTTAAAAGCCTTTCTATTGTCAAAAGGCCTTTCGAACCAAATTCATAGGACTTTTATTAGGGGAAAACTTTCCATAGGTTTACCCCAGAGGTCACCGACGAAGGGTGTAACCCAAAATGGTAAATTTTTACACCCACAAATAGACAATAGTCGAGTAACGAACGTAAAAAAGTAGAAGACATATAGACTCTCTTCTATCAGAAGATATTTCGGTATATGTCAATTAGAAAAAGGCGTTTCAAAGACCTTTGACAGAATCAAAATACAGAGAACTTTGCTTATTATAAACCCTTCCAGAGGTATACCCCGGATTTCACTGACCGCCCAGTCACCTCGGAATTGGTAAATTGTTAGACATTTTCTATTCGTTTTTCTTCCAGAGGCTCATATTATAACACCTAGGTCCCGAATTAGTTTCGAAAGATTTTCGATACCAAAGGACTAACCCTTTAACCTCCTCTAGCCTTCTATTTACAGAAAGTTATTTAAAGGCTTTTCATTCAAAGATTACATTTCACGAGCCTTCTGTCGATAGACGATTTTTTCATGTACTGCTGAAGAAAGACCCATCCCGGAGCCTTCTACTGATAGAATATTGTAGGGGAGTCTTTTAGATCCAATATTTTAAGGAAGATTCTTCAGAGACTTTCTGTTGACCCAAGATTATTCCGAGGTCTTTTCCAAAATGTTTTTGACATTAGAGAGCTCAAAAAACTTTCCTTGACAGAAGAGAGTTACAAGGACTTCTAGACATAGAGAGACAGAAGCTTCACAGAAGGCCTATGAAATTGCTTCTGCAAAAAAAGGAGATTTATATCCATAAGATACGTATAAAGGATCTTCTATAAATTTTTAAGGCCTCTGAACGCCCTTCTCTCCATAGGAGGTCTTTAATTAGTATTGTTTTAACAAAAGACTTCCGAGTGGTCATAAATCAACACAAGACCTTCTAAGGGTCTTCTGTAATCGGAAGACTTCTGAAATGTCATCCGTAAAGTGTCTTATATTAGTTGACTGAAGTTTAGTTGATAAAATGTCCTCCAGAGACCTCCTACTGAAAGGAGATCCTTTAGAGGCTTTCTGTTTATAAAGGATTTTCCGGAAGGCTCTGGCAACTAATATAGGACACTTTTTACCTTGTAAACATTCTTCCTTAGGAAGTACCCTTAGAGGCCTTTTACTTATAAAATACCCTTCAAGGCCTTCCTTTGGAAAGAATACACTTCCAAGGACACCGTTCTATTACCATTGAAAGCAGGCCATGTAGATGCCTCTGTTGGTGAAAAGGTCTTCCTTTGATAAAACTTTTCTACGGTTTTATATTGATAAAAAATCATTAAAACGCTTTCCATAGACCTTCTGTAAAAAAATTGCCTTTAGAATTTCAGGTAGGATCTTCAGAGGCCTTCTCTTAAAAGTAGACACTTCTGAAGCCTTCCATTGACGAAAGACCCTTAAAAGTCTTTTATTGATTATGAACCACCTAGGGCCCTACACAGACTCCAAATAAATAGAAGGCCCTGCAGAATTTAATGTCATTGAAAGGACTTCGATTATGTTAGGTTAGATTCCATTCTGAAACCCTATTTCTATTGATAAAATACCATTAAATCCCCGTTATCGACATTCCAGCTAAAGAAGATTCTACTGAAGTAGTTTATTTATAAAAATAACCGTCATAAACTCTCTTTTCATATCAGGGTCATCTACAGGTCAGAATCTCCAGAGGTATTCCTTTGAGCTTCCGAGGACACTGTTCTATTTCCATTGAGAGAAGGCTCTGTAGAGGCCTCTGTTGGTAAAGACCTTACTTAAACAAAGTAAAACCTTTTTACGTTTTAATTCTGATAAAATGTAAAAACGCCCTTCATAGAACTTCTACCAAGAAGAACCTTCAGAGGCCGGTGGCTGACAAATATAGCCTTCAGAAATTGTCTGTTTCGAGAGGATCTTCAGAGACCTTCACTTGAAAGTATACACTCATGAGGCCTTCCATTGACAGAAGACCCTTAAAAGTCTGAATGCCTTTTATTTATTGAAGATTTTTCAAAGATACTTTACTCCGAGAAGATCCCTTAGAGGCCTGCTAATTATTAATTGAAAGTCTTTAAAATACATTTTCTCTGAAGATTCTTCAAAGACCTTCTACTGAAAGAGAAACCTTCACAGTCCTTCCTTCGATGTACCCTTTATAGGTCTACGTGGCTATAAAACTCTTCAGCACGGTTTTTGTTAATAAAAAGTACTTCACAAATCTTCTGCTAATATATGACCCTTTGGGACCTGCTATCGATACAAGACCCTTAAAAAACCCTGCTAATTGAAAACCTTCGGAAAGCCTTCTATTAATTAATTCAGTCAATAGGAAACGCCTCAATAACAATTGATAAAAGGGTTCAAGACCAGAGTCATCTTAACCTTTAGAATAGAAGGCCCTTAGTGGGCTCTTTATTCATTGAAGACTGTTCAAAGGTCTTCTACTGAATGGAGACCCTAATTCTTTTTTAGACGATTTTTTATAGACCCTCTATTGAAAAAATACCCTTACAGAGGTCTTACATTGGTATAAGCTCCTTCAGAGGGGTTTCTCTTGGTAAAAGATACTTTAAAAATATTATGCTAATATTAGACCCTTCAGGGGTCTTCTATTGATACAAGACCCTTCAGAAGATCCTATTGATATGAAGGCCCTTCCCAGTTTTTCCATTAATAAAAAAAACCCTGCAGAGATTTTATAAAAGAAACCTTTTCCCAAATTTCAGATGGCCTGCTTGCTCATCGTCAATAGAGATTTATGAAAATACATATGCAAGAAGTGTTTACATAATGAGGTCTAGCAATATAAGCGATTCTTTGGAACCGGATTTTTCATAAAAGCATTCTAATTGGCGGAAAGGCACACTATGGCGATCCACAAAAAATACGAAAATTATAGCTGACAACCAAGAATAGGTGTTTTATTAAGCTTCCTAATGATACCCATATTGCCAATATGGGTTAAGAATATCCGGTTATTGAACCCGGGTTTCGGGTAAAATATTCGGTTTCCCGGATCCATCTATTCAGGGATTTTATATCGGTAGAAACCCCTTTAAAGATATTTAATTGATAAAATATGCCTCTAAAATCGTGTGCTAATATAAGGCCCTTCAGATGTTAAGACCCGGATCTAATTGGCCGATGCAGGCAATATAGGTATCATTTCAAATCTTACAAAAATACCTGATACCATAAGCTTTCAAATGATACTTATATTGCCAGTATAGGTTAAGAAGATGCGAGTCTTGAACCCGTGTTATCGAGCCACATATGCGGGACCCCTGAAAAAAAATTATTCAAAAATCGCAGAGTTTTTGCTAAACTAGAGTAAGGCCTAAATTGATATACTTTTTCGCTCCCCATTTCAGATGGCCTGGTTGCGTGTCGACACCCAAACAATACTCAGCATACAGAATCATGTGATCACGAAAAATCATCGCATCAGCATAAGTCACACCGAACATCGCATTTGGCAGCTGCGCATTCGCGATGTACAGGAATCGGATCGTGGTTGGTATATGTGTCAAATCAATACGGATCCGATGAAAAGTCAAGTTGGCTATTTGGATGTGGTTGTACCACCGGATATTATCGATTTTCAAACCAGCAATGATATGGTTGTGGAAGTGGGAACCAACATCAGTCTCACGTGTACGGCGACAGGTCTGCCATTACCGACAATAACATGGCGTCGGGAGAAAGATTTACCGCTCTATGTGGAGAGCGGACGTTATGTTTACAGTATGGAGGGGCAGAATTTGACATTGCCGCATGTTAGCCGCGACACAATGGGAGCGTATTTGTGCATTGCCTCGAATGGGGTGCCGCCCACGGTGAGCAAAAGGATATCGGTGGTGGTGAATTGTGAGTAGGGGATTTTTCTTAGCGTTTTATTTTTCAACTAAAAATCTCTCTTTTTCAGTTCCTCCCACAATTTTCACCCGCTATGACATCATCTATGTTGGCTATGGCCAAAAGGTAACACTGGAATGCATTTCCGAATCCCATCCGGCCTCTGTGAATTATTGGCTCAAGGATAAGGAATTTATCCAGGGTGGCAGCTATGAAACGTTCTCCGTCAATGGCATCTATAAAATGGTAATGCGTTTGGTGGTACGCCCGCTGAAAGCCAAGGATTTCGGTGAATATCGTTGTGTTGCCAAAAATATGTTGGGTGAAATGGAACAGATCATTACCCTGCATCGTGAGTATATGGAATTATTATTAATTTGAATATTTTGGAATTATTTTTCTCGCATTTTCAGACAAAGCCAAAAAAAATCTGCAACATGCTTTCCAAACCAATAGCAAGGACAATCAATACATAATCATAGAAGGTAAGACATTTTATTTTCATAAATCATGTTTTGAAGTTTGGAAAATGAATGGAAAATTAATTTTCTTTTCAGAGTACATATCCGGCCATAATATGTCGTCCAGATCCAGCGTTTGCTTCCTAGTTATAATCTGTGCGTTTTGTTTAGCATTACTCGAAATAAAACTTTGAAGAAAATTTAATAATTTTATTTTTTAATCAAAAACCAGAATGAGTTGACCTATATTGCCCATCTCCGAACTCGATCTAAGTTTAAGAATAATGTTACGATGTACCAAGCTTGTATCAAATCGGATACTCCCTTCGAGCGGAGACTTCGCTAGGTCGACCCAAAATGTCCTAAAACGGATTTGGTTTAAAGAGACTTAGGATCTAAAACCGTTTTTCGATGAGGCACATTTTGGCCGTATCAAATGGTATATATCCTCCGTATAGCTGAGGGTATAAAAATTCGAAATTGTTTTGAAGATTTCTTATATATTGAGGTCAGATACAAAGTCGAGTTTCAGATTCTCCAAACATATTTGGAAATCTATAGTGAAATAAGTGACTAACTGGTTGAGAATCTACGCCCAGAATTTTGAATCTTGAAATTTTGAACGAAGATCAATCTTGGTGCGCTCTGCGAGTGATAAGGCTGGGTTTTTTGAAAATTCTTACTAAATTATTCTTCATAGACATTCTACCTTAAGAAGGACCATTAGAGGCTGTTCACTGAAAGAATAAATACCCTTGTCAGACAGGAACTTCAGATGCTTTTTCTTGAATGAAGACACATCCGTGACCTTCCACTGAAAAAATATCCTTAGAAAGCTTCCGTAGAATATGAACCCTTTATGGACCTTCTATTGACAAGCGACAGATCTTGAATAAATAGAAGGCCCGTCAGAAGTCCACCAGTGGTGATATGTCATTCAAAGGCCTCCCATTAAAAGCAGGCCCTTCGAGGACATTTTGGTGATGGACTATTCTCAAAATATCTTCTATTAATAGGCTCTTGGAAGCCATTTTATGCATTGTAGAAAAAATCTCCTAAAAGCCCTACCATTAATAGCAGAACCTTGGCAGTTCTTCTTATACCCTAAGCCATATGGGTAGAGAGGGTATATATCATTTGATAGGGCCAAAACGAACCTAATCGAAACAACGGTTTTAGACCCAAGGTATCTTTGGACCGAATTCGTTTCAGGGCATTTAGAGTCGATCTGGCGATGTGCGACCGTCTGGCTGGTGCTCACGAAAACTCTCGAAAAGAGTATCCGACTTGGTTCAAACTTGGTACATCGCATTATTATTATCATACTTAATCGAGTTCGGACGGCCCACTCCTTCTGATACCTCCCCCACAAAAGGTCGAAATGTTCTGCAGAGAGAGAGAGGAAAAAAATCCAATTTTGCTCCAACTTTGCAAATCTTAATATTCACATTAATGCTAGGTCAGGTTCGAAAATGGACAATATCGGTCCACTCTATCAAGGGGTCAAAATTTTTAACAATTATACATCTTATAAAATGGTGGAGGTCTTAAAATTATACACATCACAATATTTTTATTAACCAAAGGTCTGGTGTAAAGATGGAATGTATCGGTCCACTCCTTCTGGCACCTGACCCACAAAGGGTTAAAGCTTTAAATAACCGAAACGATTATAAAATCTAAAATTAACATCCGGTTCTCTTCATATTTCACATATCCCGTTATTTCTACCAACATAAGGTGGGCTGTGAAGATGGAATATATCGGTCCACTTCTTCTGGTACCTTCCCCACAAAGGGTCAACATATGGGACATATGTAGGTGGTTTCGGAAATACGTACTATAATGGTACGAAAAGTACTGACTGGTACTATATATGGTATTGGGTAAAGGGATGGATATAAAATTCTGAAATTTGATATTTCGATTACTGATGGTATCTGTTTTCGTATTTTGGCGGTGGTTTGGAAATACGTGCTTTATTTGTACGAAAAGAACTAAATGGTGCGAAATTTGGTATTGGGTGAAGGAATAGGGCTGGAATTCTGAAAATTGATATTAAGGTCTCTGTAGATATATGGAATTCAGATATGGAGGTGGTTTTGGAAATGTGTACTATATTTGTACGAAAATTGCTAAATGGTACTAAATTTGGTATTGATTGAAGGAGTAGGGTTGAAATCCTCAATATGGATGTCATTGTTTGTACCTGTGGTTAAGTTAAGGAGATTATTTTGAAAATGCGTTCTACAACTGTTTGAAAAGTACCAAATTGTACTAAGTTTGACATTAGGGGGTAGGAATAGAGCCGAGATCCTGAAATTGAATATATGCCACTGTTGTTGTATGTGATTAAGATATGGAGGTGGTATTGGTACAAAAAGTACTAAATTTGGTATTGGATAAAGGAATAGATCTGGAATCCCGAAATTTGATATTGAGGTAGTATCTGTTGGTATCTGGGATTGAGATATGGAGTTTTGTTTTGGATGTGTACTATAGGTAATCGAAAACTAATTAATTGAACTAAATTTGTTATTGAGTGAATGTTTCGGACTGGAATCCCAAAATTTGGTATGTGGTGTTGAGTTCGAATTTTTCGAAATGTACCAAATGGAACTTATTTTGGATCACTGTTGATGTCTAGAATGGAGATATAGAGATTGTTTTGGATATGTGTACTAAATATTACTAAATTTCGTATTGGGTAAGAGGATGGAACTGGCATTCTGAAATTTGATATTAGAGACCACTTTTGATTTCTAGGGTTTTCACATGGACACATCGAAATTATTTTGGACAAAAAAAAATGTGAGCACTCCTCCTCGGCAAATTTCAAAATGAATGTCTTGAAATGAATTAAAATTTGGCAGAGGTATTTCTTGACTGTGTTTAATACCTGGTACCAAATATGCGGAGTTGTGGAGTGAGAATTACGAATGTAAGGTAGCTATAGCTATATCTGAGCCAAAATTCCCCAAATTTGACAAACTTTATTTTAGGATGAATACGGTGGTATGTGCCAAAACTCACAACATTTAGGCTGATATAACAATAACATTTAGACTGGTGTACAATAAACGTGAAATTGGATAATGATATATAAGGGAGCTATATCCAAATCTGAACCGATCTTGATAAAAATTGACAGAGGTATTTTTGAATTGTATCTGATACCAAAAAATCATTGTTGTAGATAATATATTACGAATGTGAGGGACTTAATCACCAAATCGGATGAAATATACAGGGCGAGATAAAAAAAGCTGCAACAAAGTCAATTGTTGAATGAAAGCAAAAAATGTCGGGAATAACATCAAATTTTAGAATAAGTTTAGATTTGTTATGGCCTTCAAATTGCCAATGAAACCGTCACACGCTGCCGTCACACGCTTAGTGCCAACCTTGCTTTCCAAAATACTCCAGACACAATAGTCCAACGGATTTGCTTCCAGAGATTTTGGTGGCCATTGTGCGCTCGAAATTAAGCGAGGAACCTCATTTGTAATCATTCTTGGGTGGCGCGTGCTGAGTGCGATGGTGCTGGGTCCTGTTGGTATGCCCAAGGTCTGCGGCCAAAATGTTTGGGTGCCTAAGGCTTAAAAAACCCTCCAGAATATTTTCGCATAATGTTCGGCATTTATTCATCAACTGTTATGGCGGCCCACATCATCACCATGGCCGGCGCTTGAGTTCTGGTGGCCAACCGAAGGTGCACATTTTCGAACACGATCATTTTGTTTGCTTACAAACTGCTGGGCAACGAATGTTTTCTCATCGGATACGGAGAAAACCAAATTCGACAGTTCACCACTTTCGGCCAAGCGAAGCAACTCTTTAGCTCTTTTGAGTCTATTTTCTTTCTTTTGCGGTGTATGTTCTTGCACTTTTGGAATTTCAATGGCTTTACCCCGAGCTCATTTTTTAATATTTGCCGTATGGAATATTGTGATATATTCAGTTCACGTGCCATTTTTCGGCCACTGCGACGCGGGTTACGATCAAGTCGCTTCTTTACTTTTCGAACCATTTTCGCTGATGTTGAGCTACGCTACCAGTATCACGTTAACGAGCGATGGTGCGAGACACAAACGATTTATTCACATTTAAATGCTGGAGTTCTCTAACGATAGCCAGTTGTGGTTTTCCAGCCATATATAAAGAAATTACACTATCACGCTTCAATTCCATCACGAATAACTTTTTTTCTGGAAAATTCTCACCAAAATGTTTTTGGGCGCTTCTACACAATATAATGAGCTGTCACTGAAATAATTTTAACAGCTGTCGGACGAGTGGATTAGAAATTACAGCAGTCTAAAGTTGGTTGGCCGTTTGAAGGCCATAATTCGTGCCAATGGATGACTAAATCGAACAAATCTAAACTTTTTCTAAAATTTGATGCTATTTCCGAAATTTGATGCTATTTCATTCAATAAAATTTAAAAATTAAGACCTTTGACATGGTTGCAGTTTTTTAACTCACTGAATACCCTCTGTAGCCTGAGGGTATAAAAATACATGGAAAGACGGACGAATATGTATGAATCGACTAAGAATGTAATTCTGCGGACATCATCAAAAGGATCTATGGGTCTATTTCGTTTTTCGTTTCTTACAAACAAATACACAAAGACATAATACCCTGTACCGCAGTATGGTGTGGGGTTTGATTTTGTCACTTTGTATGGGTATTTATATTAGGAGTAGAAAATCAAAACTACAAGCTTGTTATTCGTTGCATACTTTTTGGCTGATTAAATGACGCACCATTCACGGCATTGCTCAAAATTCCTAAAAATCTCAAAAAATCGTTATATGATGACAGCTCAACCTATATTGAATATTGCTTGGTAGAAGTTCTTCAAGGCTTCTTAAAATAACAAAACTTCCGAACATATTGAACATTGTCAAGAAATGTATTTTGTTTTTTTGGTTTGTTTCAATTTAAAACAAAATAAATAGGAAACAAAAAGTTTAGAATTTAAAAATAACTTATAACTAGAAGAAATTACAATATTAGTTAGTTTGTTATGTCAACTCATATATTACATACAATTAATTTTGTAATAGCTATGGGATATATGAAATTATCTAAAACTGACTAAACACAAAAAAACCTAACAAAAATTAATCATGTTTTAATTGATTGGGCTAAAAAACAATTTGAAATCTAATTTAACAATGACAGTTGAGTTTTGAACCCCAAGTTCATATTCTACTGTCATCGCCTCTGATATTAAAAATTAGGTGTACATTTTGCTAGAAAAAAATGTGAGGTAGTATATTTAAATACTAGCAGATTTTATTCACTACATTCTTGTTCTCATTGTGGTTTTTGTTTCTATTTTTCCTTTTTTGATTATCGATTTATTGTTATATGTTATATTTATGCTGGTGTGTGTTGTGGGGGTATTAGTTTGATGTGTGTTTTCTTAATATTTAATTAATTTAAAAATAATTTTCATAAGAATAGCATAAGTTGTTAGCATCTTTTTATGTGAATCTTGGTGTTCTTTGGATTTAAATTTAAATTTGAAAATAAAAGACAAAATCTTATATTAAAATAAGAGAAACAGCCTTTTATGCGGTTGTTAATATTTAATTTAGAGATTAAAATCAAAGAAAAACTAAAATTTAAAATTAATTTAAAAACTGGCCTTAAATTATTTTTTATTTCCTCTCATTTTTAATTTACCCTCTGCCAGGTTGCAGAGTTTAGTTTTAGTTTTTCCATCATTTCATTCGTTACTTCTACTAACTAAGCTTATCAAATAAAACTAAATCACGTATTGATCATTCTTGTTTGTTTCTTTTCTAAATATTTAGAAAAGAAAGAATAAGTCCACCAATTCGTAATAGCTCTAAAATTGAACTAATCTCTCTCTATTTGTCTGCGTGGCCATTTTATCAACTTGATTTTGAGGTTTCCACATTATTTTCTATATGTTGAGGCTGATGATGATGATGTCCATTGGTCTGTGGTTTGGGATGAGCATGCGTCTCCGGATTATCCATATTTGGCACTTCAATTTTTGGTGGTGGCACAGCACCCTTAGCTTTGGCCAATTTATCACGTTGATCATAGATTTCATTTACCAATTTCTTGACAAATGGATGATTGAATTTACCCTCGGTGGAATCGAAAAATTCCTGATGCCTCAGTAGACAATTGTCACGTTTCTCATATTCGAAAGCTTGCATCACCATATCCAAACGATCTAAATCCTTCACAAAACGAGATTCAGCACTTTCACCTTGTTCGTATTCCTGGAAAAGAAAAAACATAAGGCGAGGAGAAAATTAGAATAAATTCAAAGAAGGAAATATTCGATATGTTTTAATAAAAATAAAAATATATTATAAATAAAAATATATTACATATATAAAGGAAAATATATTCTTCAAGAAGGAGTATAAACTCAGACAGTCCTTTGGTTTATGTGCAATTTAACTTCTCAGTATTTAGTGTCTTTAGGAGAATTAAAAACCTTGTTGTTAGAAAGACAGAAGATTTTGTTCACATTAGAGCCTGAGAACTTTTTCTTCATAGACTGGTTTAAAGGTATTCGTCATAGAAAAGTTTGAAAGGGCCTTCTTCTTGTTTAAAGGGCCTGCATATTCATATAAGATCCTGATTCTGTTCGCGTAAGATCCTGAACACTTTTCTTCATAGACGTGTTTAAAGGTTTTTGTCATGGAAAAGTTTAAAGTTCTACTTCATAGAAGAGCCCATAAAAGGTTCTGAATATATCTCCCTTATATAAGAGATTGAAGGTGTTTTTTCCCATAGAAGAGCAACAAGGTTTTTTTGCCAAAGAAAAACATCAAAGTCTTCTTGTCCATAGAAGAGACTAAATGTATTTTTACCATAAAAGTTACTAAAGGTCTTCTTTCAAATAGAAGCCTGTAGGCCTTCCTCATAAAAGAGCCTGAGAGTCTTCTTTATAGACTTATAGAAATCGCTGAAGGTCTTTTCTATCAGAGAAGTGCTGACAGTCTTCTTCTTTAGCATCGACATACACAGAAATGTCTTTCAAAGCCATTTCGGAGGGGCCCAAACGACAAACAAGGAGATTTTGAAACAAAATGCAATGAATGCCTTTCGAAAGGATTTCGGAGGGGCCCAACCACAAAACAGGGATTTTGAAGCAAAATGCCCTAAAAATATATTAAAATGTTCCAGAGGGGTGAGGGTTAGATCGGTGCTGAAAGTCTTCTCGTTCAGCACGTATCCAGAAATGTCTTTCGAAACCATTTCTGAGGGGCCCAATCGACAAACAAGGAGATTTTGAAGCAAAATGGCCTGAATGCCTTTCGAAAGGATTTCGGAGGGGCCCAACCACGAAACTGGGATTTTGAAGCAAAATGCCCTAAAAATATCTTAAAATGTTCCAGAGGGGTGAGGGTTAGGTCGGTGCTGAAAGTCTTCTCCTTCAGCACGTATCCAGAAATGCCTTTCGAAACCATTTCTGAGGGGCCCAAAAATCTTCTCCCACAACACCGACATGTACAGAAATGCCTTTCGAAAGGATTTCGGAGTGGCCCAACCATAAAACTGGGATTTTTAAGCAAAATGCTCTAAAAATATCTAAAAAAAATTTCAGAGGGGTGGGGGTTTTGTCGGTAGCCCCTAGAGAAAAGCTAAAGGCATATTCCCTCACGGAAGTGCATAAGGTTTTCTCCTTTAGAGAAGAGCTAAAGATCTTCTTCCTCAGGGAAGAGTGAAAGGTCTTCTTTCTAAGAAAAGAGCTAAAGATCTCCTCCATCATAAAAGAGCTGAAAACCTTCCTTCCCCAGAGAATAGCTAAAGATCTCCCCAGGGGTACCCAAACGACAAAAAAGATTTTGAAGCAAATTATCTACAAATGTTGCTTTTCGAAGTAGGCAGGTATGCTTCAGAGAAGAGCTGATGGTATTTTCTCCTATCATTCAGAGAGGAGCTGAAGATTCTCTCCTTCAGAGAAGAGCTGACGGTCATCTTTTTCAGATTTTAATGGTTTTTCCAACAGAAAAGGACTGAAATTCTTTTTTCCACAGAGAGGAATTAATTGTATTTTCCTTTTTTTCCGGAGAAAGGCTGAAGTTCCTCAGGTAAGAGCTGAAGGCCTTTTTTATCAACGAAAAAAAAAATTCTTCATAGGCGAGATGAAGGCATTTTTCATAGGCCGAAATGAAGTCATTCTTCATAGGTCGATATGAAGGCATTCTTAATAGGCCAACATTAAGGCATTCTTAGCAGGACGAGATGAAGACATTCTTCATAGGCGATATGAAGATATTCTTTATAGACCGAGATAAAGGCACTCCTCATAGATGAGATGAAGGCATTCTTCACTGACCGAGATGAAGGCCTTCTTCATAGGAGAGATGGAGGCCTTCTTCATAGGCCGAGATGAAGGCCTTCTTCATAGGCCGATATGAAGGCATTCTTCATTGGCCAAAATGAAGGCATTCTTCAATGGCCAAAATGAAGGCATTCTTCATAGGCCAAAATGAAGACATTCTTCATAGGCGAGATGAAGGCATTCTTCATAGACCGAGATGAAGGCCGTCTTCAAAGGTCGATATGAAGGCATTCTTCACGAGACGAGTTGAAGACATTCCTTATAGGCTATATGAAGGCATTCTTCACTGACCGTCATAAAGGCATTCTTCATAGGCGAAATGAAGGCATTCTTCATAGGCGAGATGAAGGCATTCTTCATAGGCGAGATGGAAAGCCTTTATCTCGCCTGTGAGGGATGCTTTCGTGTAGCCCATAAAAAATGCCTTCATCTTGGCCTATGAAAGACCTGGGTTAAGGGATTCCTTATAGAATTGTAAAGCCATTATAAATAGACCATAGGGATGAGGGTCTTCTTCTTCGATTATATATGCAACGTTATTGAAAAGCAGTGGAAGGTATTCATATTACAGTAGGTCTTCATAACTTTAAACAAAAAACAACGCTTTTCAGAGGTGAAGTCTTCAAACTTGACAAGTCATAGTTGGCATTTTATAATACCACGACTATTTCCTATCATATGATCCCCAAATTGACAAAAAATCGAAGATTACACGCCGGCTACTTGAAATAGAGATAAGTTCCCTTTAAGTACGCTTGTGGTGTATCGCTGATCCAGAGTCCTATTTTGTAAGGAATGTCATGAACATAGCCAAGAACTTTTCCACTCTAGTGTTCCTATATATGACCTTTGAAAAGATACGACTATTTCCTATAATTTGATCCCACTCAGGGGTTTCTAAATATGACCTTCAAAGAAAAAAGATGATTTGATTAATAAATTCCAAAATTTCATATTGACAAACTACTCACCTCAAACAGTTCCATCATCCTTTTACCGCGTGGTTCAATCAGTTTACAAATGTCTTCCATGGCCTTCAATTCCATTGCCTTCTTTTCCTCCTTGGAGATGCCACAGAACGGTGTAATATCACCGACTAAACTTTCAGCCAAATCATGGACCAAAGCCAATTCCATGCAACGGATTTGATTCAAACCCTCAGTGCCATCCAAAAGGAAGGTTAAGATGCTCATGCGATACATGTGGCCCGAAATCGATTCACAGTCGTTGACATCACGCAACACCCAGCCGGTACGTTTTGTGTGCTGTAAAGGGTGAGGGGGGAAAAGAACGATAAATAACAGCGGTCGTAAATATATTTGTAATTAAAATCAATTATGTAGAAAATATATGTATATTTGGTAAGAAAAATGGGAAAAACAACAACATCATCAATAAATGTTTGTACTTTGTTGTTTTTAGGTGGCTAAATAATGTTGTCGTTCTTTTTATGTAATTCCTTCCACAAGTCAATTGCTTAGCAGCAGCAATTAGCTAAATTATATTATGCGAATTAAGAGGAGCAACGTCAAAAGGCCTTCAGATTCTGCTGTGAAATAGTATCAGATTGCTTGGAGGCGGGGCGGCTGATTGGCTGAGATGATTGACCATAGATAAATTGTTGTTTTCAAACTGAAATGACGCAGTTTAGTTGGTCCTACAATGTTACAATGTAAATAAAATTGTTTACGCTGGTTGTTATTATGCGCTGGCATCCATTATTACGACAATAATGTCTGGATAAACATATGGTTGACCTTGCAAGCAATGTAAGTAGATGGATTATTATTGCAAGAAGTCAATATAAGAAATTCTAATGTTTAATTTTCTTAATAATTTCGTTCTTATTTCTTCCGAATTGTTTTTTATTATCTTCCACAACATGGAGGGTATATTAATTTTGTCATTCCGTTTGTAACTCATCGAAATAATAATTTTTGACATAACAAAGTATGAATATTCTTGATCAGTGTAAAATTCTAATTTAGCGATTTAGTCCGGTCCGTCTGTGGAAATTACTCTAACTTCCGAACGAAATGAAGTAGGTTGATAAAATGTTACTCAAATGTATATTATGTCTGCAGGAATTTTGGTAAATGGGCCATATACGTCCACGTTTTGGTATAGCCCCCATATAACGGTACCTCCCGATATTCGGTATTTTGATGATTTTAGCGACATTATTCACCGGAAAGGTTTCAAATTTAATATTTGAAGTTCATAACATATACTACAGCATATGAGAGAAAATTGTCCGTGCAGGTCCACGCCTCCGTATAATCCTCATATAACGACACCTCCAGATTTTCGGAATTTTGATGATTTTAGTGACATTATTCACCGGAACTGTTTCAAATTTGGTATTTGAAGTTTGTAATGATTACTACAGCCTAAGACAGAAAAATGTCTGTGCAAGTCCACGTCTTCGTACAACGCCATACAACGCTACCTCGAGATATTCGGTATTCCCAGAATTATTCACGGGAATTGCATCAAATTTCGTATTTAAAGTTCGTAATGGATAAGACAACCTATGACGGAAAATTGTCCATGCAGGTTCACGTCTTAATACAGTCCCAAAACAACGGTACCTCCCTTTTTTCGGTATTTTGATGATATTAGCGACATTATTCACGGGAATTGGCTACCAACCACCAAGGACGAACCCTATTGAAATTGGAGATAATCGGTAAAAATTTAGATATAGCTCCCATATATATCTTCGTCCGATTTGCCTTTTATTGTGCACCAAACGTGTAATATCAGCCCGAATAGTATGGAATTTTGCACATGCAACCAAATTAGGCCTAAAAATAAGCATGCCAAATTTGATCGAAATCGGTTCAGATATAGCTATAGCTCCCATATATATTGTTCATCCGATTTGTTATTTTTGTCCTCCGCAGCCGTAATATGCACTCTGTAAAAACAATATTTGGGAAAATATATCAAATGCAGCTCAGAAATACCTTTGCTAATTTTATCGAGATCGGTTCAGATTTGGATAATATAACTTCGTTCGATTTACCTTTTATTGTGCACCAAACGTCTAATATTTGCCCAAATGGGATGGAATTCGGCACATACGACCGAATTGAGTCTAGAAGGTAGTATGAATATTTGTTACCCACAGCCGTAATATGCACTCCGTAACAACGATATTCAGGGAAATATATCAAATACAGCTCAGAAATATCTTTGCCAAATTTTATCGAGATCGGTTCAGATTTGGATTTAGCTCCAATATATATCTTTATCTGATTTAGTATTAATTTTGCACCAAATGGGCAATACAAGTCCGAATTTATCGGTTCAGATTTGGATTTAGCTCCAATATATATCTTTATCTGATTTAGAATTAATTTTGCACCAAATGGGCAATACAAGTCCGAATTTAAAAGATACAAATGTTTTGGCGTATTTAGACCTTTAAATTTTAAATTATAATTATAATCATAGGGTTTATGATTGAATTCTCCCATAAAAACTTTTACTTGTTATGTGGAGCTCAACTAAATTAGCAAAGTGGTGTAGGGTATCATAAAATCGGCCCCGCCCGACTTTAGGACTTTCTTTACTGGTTTTAAATTATTCAAGTTCCTTCCGAATGGTAGAAGCCCGAAATTAGCTGCTTTTTTATTTTTTCTTAATAATAATGATAATAATCTTCAATATGAGTGTTGAGTGTGAGTTCATTAACCTCTGCTAACGCCTTAATCTGAAAATATATACAAGTGCACATTCAGTATTATCTAATAAAATATTGCCATTTTATCGCTGTTTAAATTTTGTACAATACAATTGCATGATTTTTAGTATCGGTCAAGGTACAAATTTAAAATATATAAATGCAAACTCATTGCATTCACACAATGACAGAGCGATAGCACATGATTTTTCGTGAATGCTACCTATCAGGTAAGACCGCAATTGGGAAAGGGGGGTAAAAACGTTAAAAGCTCTAAACGTTTTTAAGGGTATTCTTTGAGTTTAACATCATTAAGTGTGTGCTTTTCTACACAGGGCTTCTTAAAGGGGTTTTTATAAGTAGAATTCCAATAAGGGAATAGATATTTCATCTATAAAAGATTAATATCTTAGATGAAAGAACATCTAACAGGGCAAATCAGTACATATTTTAACCGCATACAGAATAACTGTGCCTTGTGCCCGAGGTATTTAAGCCTCCAACTTTGATCTTCGACAATACCGTGGGCATTATTGTGATTTAGACATCATCTTCTTTACAGAGTATGTTCTCACATACTGTCGAAGTAACAGTGGATCTGGGCCTCGCATCAGAATCATTTGCTTGAAGGGACGTCGCTTCCTATAATTGTTAAACAGATGTGACACAGTAATCTCCTATATTTAAGTTGCTTCATTTTAATCAAACAATATCAGTAAGGAAAAGTCAAAAGTACGGCGGGGCCGACTATATGATACCCTACACCACTATGCATTTTTAGTAGAGCTCCCGTAACAAAAGAATTTATTTCAAGATCATAATACCTATCAACATTTGGCTTAAGAGCAGTTATAATTTGGTTTCAGAAGGAACTAATCTGTGGGGGGCATATCCAATTCTGAATAGATTTTCACTATATTTGAGGGACATATTTTAATTTTTATACCAAATATTATTCCTATAGAGTGCATACTATCACTTCGAGAGGGATTATATTAAAAAATATATCGGAGACGTTTTTCACAAAATGAAAACGTGCCTCCCGAAATTCACTCCATTTGGGCTGATATTAGCCAGTATTTGCACAATAAACCTGAAATCGGATTGAAGTTATGTATAGGACCTATATCCAAATCTTAGCCAATCTCGATAAAATTTTGTAAAGGTATTTCCGAGCTCTATCAGATATCTGGTACCAAATATCACTGTTGTCGAAAGCATATTACGCATGTGAGGCACTTAAACACCAAATAGGATGAAACATATTTACGGGAGCCATAGCTATATCTTAACCGATTTTCACCAAATTTGATGCAATTGCTTCTAGACTGAATTCGGTCGGAAGTGCGAAAATTCACTCCATTTGGACTGATATTTACCATCTGGTGAACAAGAAACGAGAAATCGGTTAATAATCTGAGCCGATCTTGATACAATTTGGAAGAGGTATTTCTGGGCTGTATCTGTAACCAAACATCTAGACTGAATTCGGTCGGATGTACCAAATTTCAGGACTTTTGGACTGATATTGGCCATTTGGTGCACAATTACCCGAAATCGGTTGAAGATATCTATTGGAGCTATATCCAAATCTGAACCGATCTTGATCAAATTCTGGAACGATTTTCCCCAAATTTGATGTATCTGCTTCTAGTCTGACTTCGGTTGGATGTGTCAAAATTCAGATCATTTGGACTGATATTGGGCATTTGGTGCACAATTAACCCGAAATAGGTTGAAGATATATGGGAGATTTATCTAAAACTGATCTGATTATTACCAATTTCAATAAGGTTCGTCCTTGGGCCAAACAAATATTGTTTGGAAAATTTCATATCAATAGGCTAATAAATGCATACCTGCATTTTGTTCACAAAAATACATGAACAAACGGACGGACGGACATGTATAAATCGACTCAGAAAGTGATTCTGTGAAGATCCTCAAAAATAATTATGGGTCTATCTCGCTTCCTATTCCATCTTACAAACAAATGCACAGAGATAATATCCTTACCACTATGTGGTGTAGGGTATTAAAATCAGCATTGTAGTTTCATGAAAAGACATTAGAAATGTTAAAGAAATAATTGCGGTTCTGATTCCATAATGGAGGAACTCTAAACAAACAAGATCCTTGTTGAAGGCGGTGGATCATTTCATGAAAAGCATTCTTCTTTTAAAACAGACCCGTTGGATAATCGTGAAAGATTAAAACTAATGAAATGTATTCAAAACATCCACGTTGTGAACTATTGTAAGAGGCTCTCCAGACCTATTATTCAATATGTGAAACGTTCATTGAGACTTAACTACGTTTTTATCTGCATTTTAGGTGCATGAAAAGACTTTTGAAAATTTAATAAATAATTGCCGTTAAGGTTCCATGATGGGTTTGGAAAACTCTATAAATCTCCTTGTTGGAGGCGGTTTGAAAAATCCACATTGTGAGTTTGTAAAGGAGGCTTGAAAAAAAGAATACAATTCATCCATCTGTATCTTTGGTAGACATAATTTTTTTTCAACAAAAAAAGAATAAATGCCAAGAAAGGTATGTGGGCTAGCTTAAAATGGCACT